TAAAGCGGGTGCTATCATAAACGCGCGAAGAACTAGAATCAGTAAAAAACATCTGTAAACAATTTTATTCTTAAATGTTAATTCATTTTTAAATGAAAATAAGATTTTTAAACGTTTTCGCATATAAACCGTATATTTTATTTAATCACTCTAGTTCCTTATCAGTTTTTTGTTCGTTAAGTAGTTACTTCTAAGGAGTAATTTTAAGTAGTTACTCTAAAGGAAATCATTATATATCATCACTATTTCTACTATCATTATCATTCTGCATTTTTAATGAAAAATTTAAAAAGAACATGGTCCTTTTGGATCCGCATTTTGAAACCTATTGCCAAGGAGAACTGAAACGTTGTAAACCGTTACAGAAAAATAACCGTTTAGCACACCTCTAGTGGATACATACCGCAAAAGTTGGCTGTATTCACATTCTAAAAATTCAAAAAATCGTTTTAAATCCTTTACATTTTTGGCGCTCAAAGAAAATTCACTAAAAAAATTTTAAAACTAAGTTTTCCACGTTAAAATTTAATAACTTTAAACCATGTTTCATTATGCGCAATATGTAAATTGCAATGTCCAGCAAATAAAACAGGAATATTTAAATTGTTTTTCAAATGTACAAACACAGAATTATATTTACCGTAATTGACTGACGAAATAGGACGTTACGAAGATTATCCTCTGATCCGACACCCGACACCAAAAATAAAGGATGCTATTATTAACCGACGATCGATAATTGTCGATTAGTTCATGATTACTCACAATGCATCTATGCATCTTTATTTGTTTTTTCATCCACCACTAAAAAATAACAAAATGTATAGCCTAGCAGCTATTTGCTTTTTAACCGGAGAAATCTTAATCCGGTTGACAAAATATTTATGACCTGAGCTCATGAAAGAAAACCTAATACTTCGGTCAAAAACCGGAGATTTGGCAACCCTATTTGTGTGTAACAATGAATAAAAAGTATTATTGCAAAATGAATGAACCACTTAATTCAGTTTGTGTTAGCTTGGTAGCTAGTGCCTCGTTTTATATTCAAAGATCTACATGGTAGGTATCCAAGGAAACAGTTTTCATTAACATTTTGCGCAGTTTGGCAACACCGCTTGAAATTTATCCTGAAAATGGTGATTTTCCTTAAAGTTTGTGAATGTTTTTTGTCTTAATTTATGGACCCTTCAGGAAAATTTGCACTGAGAGTGCTTAATTTGAAGTGATCTTCAAGGTAAGGATGGACAAAACTACAAATTCCGAGTACCTCAAAAGACACCATCACCCTATCTTTTGATGTGAGAGAATCTCTAGATACAACAAAATCGCTCATTATAGCATGTGCAGTATTGCATAACATAGCGCAAAACATGAATGAACCAAGTCCAACTCTAGGCCCCAATTTAAAGTTTGATGCAGAAGAAATGCCCCAAGAAAATAATAGTGCTATGAGTAACAATCATAGAGAAGATTTTATATTATTAATTTAGTGGAGAACCAAGAAGAATCTGATTTAAATCAGTAGTATGTTCAAATGCAGGTGCCAAGCTCTCGGAACTTACAAGAAATCAGTGATTTTGATTGGCCGATGAAGTCAAGTCCCAATTGACGAACCCAAGGCTCAATGGTTTTTATAATACACAAATAAAGTCAACCGCTGGTTGAAAGTGAACCGATGGTTGGTCAGCCGGAGGTTCAACCCGACCTTTATAATACCCGCCCTAAGGGGGGTAAACAGTAATTGTGGCGTAAATAGTATTCGTCTATTTGACTATCAATCTCTAGGCAATGGCAGAATAGTGAAATAAGCCTCGCTATGGAAATGAGTGTGTTAAACCTCAAATGGGACAACTGATTATTTTGCTTTTTAGGTTTGGGTATTCATATATAGTGCATTGTGGAGCTTTTTATTTGAGCATTCTAACCTTTATAGCCGCTAAATTGAAAATCCTACAACACCTTTTCGTACACTTTTCGAAATACAGCAGGCAAATGGAAAACGCTTATGAACTTAATGAAGAACAAGCTCAGTTTGTTTTACTGAGACTTCTGATACAGGAACACTCAAAGATAATAGAGTAAGTCCACTAGATTTCGCTGGGAAGTTAGAAAATCTTTTTTGCCAACGACGTTTTATGTTTCTACAAACTTGGGTTCCAGTTTCGTCAAAAGAACCAACAACTGCATCAAGTTGTACACCTTGATAAATTTCTTGGTATCTTCGTTTCAACTGTCGCTAGTAGCTTACCAAATATTTAAGGTAAGTCACGATACATTCTCCTTCATGGTATGAGCTAAATATATTAAATTTCAGTTGCCTCCATTACAACAAGTAACAGTATTCAGCTACTTCATCACTTTAATCACGCAACTAATTTTGAACTATCAAGCTGCACACGCAATTTCCATTGAGGTTGGTATAGGTTGAAATAGCGACTTATTTAGAAAACATTTACCTCCGATAGCGACTTGAAAGTTGGAATAATGGATAATGATGTCAGTAATTAGGTTTAAATGTTTAGAGAAAATTGAGAGGAAGAATCTTGGTTAATGCGATAACAAAATACTCCCTACAAGCTGATAAATCAAAAATGATTTGGTTAAAACAAGACAATCCAAAATGTAAAATTCTGAGCGTTTTTGGATTATTAAGTGTAGTAAACAATAGCACTGATAACTTACAGACAGCAATAAAAAGAAATGATCTTCAATCCTGAAGAAACCACAAGAGTTTTCACCGGAATGCTGAGAAAAACGCAAAAAAACTGCGGCTAGAATAAAAAATTAAACCTCCTACTAAATTCATCATACATTTCGAAAAAGAGCTGGAAAGTCGTCATTCTTACATACAGAAAAACAGTTAGTTTGGGTCAATCGCAACCCGTTTTAAAAATATATATAGAAATTCGCGATTACTTTTCAGATTCGACGCGAATAATAATCTTCAACCGTCAAAAAATATTGCATAAAACGCCCATATTGTTCTACGTGAACAAATAAATATGACGAAAAATGAAAAAAATAATCGAGAGTTGAAAACTAAAAAATTAAATTGCGATACTTACATTGCGAACAATTACAGAAAAAATGTTACAGTGAAAAATGCGAGTTAACCGATTCAAATAGAAATTTTACGATTCTCTTCAAGCAAATATTATGAATTTTTAATACTAATCGAGAACCAATACTGTAAAAAAGCCACAAAAACATTCAGTTTTAGCCCTTCTGTTAAATCCCGAAATTCGTTCGTTTCTATAAAAAAATTTGCTTCCGAACTTCCTTCATTTGTCTCTTACAATTTTGGAAGTTTTCCTTATTTTTTGCAGAAGCTCTGGTCAAAATTGAAAAAAATACTTTAAAATACGTAACAATTCGTTTTGGACGATGTGTACTGAAAATTGCCTGCATCATTTCTTATGGAAAAAACTTCAATAGTTACTACTTTGAAGGTAGAAAATCGATTTAACTTAAATCTGGGAACTTGTTCTACTGCGAAAAACGATATGCCATGGCAGATTATAACTCATCGGTTTATGAGTTATAAGTCATTTTTTTTTAGTAAAGTTTTACTACTTTTTGTTTAGAAACAACTTTTGTTTTTTTTTGTTTAGAAACAGTGTTGTTTAGAAAAATTGACCTAAAAGTGAGGAAACTCCTGTTTCCAAGAGTTTTCCAAATAAATGATTATAAACTTTCGCTTCTTCAGTTCGGGGAAAGTTCTTGTAAAAAGGCCCAGAAATAATTATTAGGATTTTGTCCATAATACAAAGCTGCAAAAAGTTTTCCAAAAATTTTTTCAAAGCGGTTAAGGAGGCGAGTGTTCCAATAAAATGTATCTTATAATTTTTCACAGAAATATTTTAACATTGTCATTATTTGAAGTAAAAGAATTGCTTAATAGAAACTTTGTTAAAACTGGAATGGCCTGATAATGTAAAGGAACTTTAAAAATCTTCAGAGTGACGAGGGCGGCAAATTTTCCAAAAAAATGTTTGTAAACCTGTGCTCTCTGGTCGTTTTTTCAAGATAATCCTAATTTCCTTCTGTAAAAAACTGAATAAAATTATTTGGTTTTTGTGCCAAATTCGAAGCTGAAATGGGTTTTCTAAAGTTTCCTGCAAACCTATGAATGAGGCGAAGTTCCTGGCAAAATTAATTGTCATTTTTGGCTGAAAAGACCCCATTAGTCAGAAAAGAAGAAAATCATCAGAAAATAATGGTTTTTTTGCGTTTTCGATTAAAAACTTTTAGTTTTGGAGAAAACCTTAATGGTTTTCGAGGAAAAACCCGAGGAATTTACTTGCGTTCTTGTCCCGAATTGGACGTTGAAAAAAGTTTTTGTAAAATTTTTACAAAGCTATAAATTTATCTTGTAATTTTTCGTATAAAATACCTCGAGATCGTCAGTATTTTTAAGTGAAACTACAAAATAGAGCATTTTTGAGTAGAAAGGAAAGCAAAAAAAGTTCAGTCAAGACTAAAAAAACACGTTTTTTTAACAAATTCTACAGTATTCAGAGGTATGGAAGTGACGAGATTTCCAAATACTTAATCTGTTCGTTTTTTGATAGAAAATTATTTTATTTTTGTTCCAAATTCGAAGCTGGATAGGGATTTTAAAACTTTTTACAAAGCGAGGAAATATTCGAAATTTATTTCATAATTTTTCGCGGAAATTACCTTAAGATTGTCAGCATTTTTAAGTGAAACTAGAAAATTGAGCATTTAGAGGAAAGAATAACTTTGATAAAACTGGAAAATTCTGAAATTTTGAAGAAATTTTAAAAAGATTATTAATAAATGGGCCTTAAAATAAATCTAAACAGAAGTTAAAAAAGTCATCAACATTTTCCCAGCAACGGAACTGAGTTACTGCGCAAATTCCTAAAAATTCATTGAGTTACCCAGGCCTATCTCAAGCTACGTTAAGCTAATTTCGTCCACATAATGGTGTATATTCCGGCCGTTTAAAGGCCAACTCCTCGGACATTCGCCAAACGTCAACAATAAAAAACTCAACTGCAAACTTCCAGAGTCAAAATCTTGCCGGAAGCATATTCAAAGGCGACTGGCACTCATACTCTCCAAAAATCCTGAGAATTCTACAATTGGTCTGCATGAGAGCTCAGAAGCCTTTAGCCATGACCCTGCACTCATTCGCAAATGTGCAAGTAAATCTACTAATCAAGGTGAGTAAATGATAGTAATTTACGGGAAAATTCACCACTTTTTGGGTTTCAGATATTCAAAGCTCTGTACTCCTATATCTGCCTTATTTTGAAAACTTAAGCGATGCTCACGAAGAAACCAAAATTGAAATTTCACCATTACATTGAGAAACCGATAGGACACTTAGAGGAAGCTTTTGCTGTGTTTTTCAACAAATTAAGCTAATAGATGTGCAAATTAATCATAAATAATCATTTATTTATATTGGTTTAGTTTCCAGCACTAGACCGGCATTGCAACGACGCACAAAAAATATGTTTTTTAGTAGAAAGTGACGCAATGGCGAGCGAATGATAACCATAAAGTTGACCAATTCTATATAGAGAATAAAACGCAACAAGTTATATAATTTGGGATTGTTGATCGGCACAAAAATACCGTTAATTGCTTATTTATAGCGCACAATATAGGCAAAAGTTTTAAAGGAAAACGTAATTATTTCTTTGGTACAACAGTAAATACATAAAACCAGTACGCAAAGGTTTTTAATTTCAGCAGCCTCTTGTTAGACAGTGGATTGGATGGAATTGAGTAGGACATAATAAAAACAAGATTATTAGCAACAATTTGAAGATCAATTATACTTTTTGAATATTAAACACATACACCAAGATACCCAGATCCAGTAAAGTTTACCATTGAGAACGCATCTTACTATGATGTTAAATAATGATCCATTTCTCCCTTATCTCTGGCTTGATGCAGTGCTGATCCGCTTTTTCCTAATACGACTCGCTTTAAAAAAGACTGTTGATACACAACCTTTTGCCAGTCCCATTCTATATGAATAGCTTGCTTACTGCTTGAAACCTGCGTTGCTGTTAGATGAGAAAACACGGACAAAATTCATCGTTTACTTTTGAGGCTGGAAAGTCTCTTAACGTGCCGTATTTTTGCATTTTTTTTATTAAAAAAAAACGGCAAATTTAAAAAACGTCAGGAAAGCTAAGTAACAGTAAACTAAATAATTTGCAAATAAAAGTAGAGCAAAAAATAATCCTTTCGAGAATTTGTCTGTTTTTTTTTCGTATTTTTTCTGCTTGATTAAATTGGCATTTTATCGGAAATAGCTTCAATAACATGCCCTGACGTCACAAGTAGGAAAGGTCCCTTGTACTAAAGCCAGCCACTTTAACCGTTAACATAAAAAAACCGACGCCATAACCTGAAAGTTTTAATTTTGTTTATTTACATAATTAACTTGTTAAATTTTTTATTTTCCTATCTCTTTTGAACAGTGTGTGTGCTTCTAATTATTTCCAAAGTGTCCACGTTTTCATTGTGCAACTTGAGGAGCTGCCAGAATGTCCTGGTGAGTCAAAAGTGATTTGATTTTAACCGCTTTTCCATTTAGTCGACTGAACTTCTCTATTGTCTGTATCCCTGCAAAAAATGGATCAAATGGTTTTAAAACACCTTGAACTAACGCCATAGAGTAGGATTATTCATAAATATTTTCATATATAGCTCCCGGCTCGGTAATAATGTCGTGGGAGACTCCCCCCTACTCTGCGAAGAAGTTAAACAAAAATGTGCAGTTAATGGGGCTGCAAAGCCTCATGAGGAACATCAGTATCTAAACCACATTAAACTCATACTGGAAAAGGGGGTTAAAACGGCAGACAGGACGGGTGTGGGCACCTACTCAATATTTGGGGCTCAAATGAGATACTCTTTAAGAGACAACATCTTCCCGCTGCTTACCACCAAGCGAGTCTTCTGGAGAGCCGTAGTGGAGGAGCTGCTTTGGTTCATCAGGGGCAGCACCAATGCTTTCGAGCTGAAAGACAAAAACGTGCACATTTGGGACGCCAACAGCACAAGGGAATTTCTGGACTCCGTGGGCCTTAAAGACCGAGAGGAGGGCGACTTGGGGCCAATCTACGGGTTTCAATGGAGGCACTTTGGGGCCGAGTACAAAGGAATGCGTGCTGACTATAAAAACAAAGGCATTGACCAACTGGCTCATGTAATCAATACAATCAGAAACAAACCCACAGATAGAAGGATGATTATGTGCGCTTGGAACCCGGTAGACATTCCTGAAATGGCTTTGCCCCCCTGTCATTGTCTTGTGCAGTTTTACGTTGCTAATGGGGAACTGTCGTGCCAATTGTATCAAAGATCAGCCGATATGGGGCTGGGGGTGCCTTTTAACATTGCCAGCTACGCCCTGCTCACTTACATGATCGCCCATATCACCAATCTCCAGGTAATCGCTTTCAAACACCAATTGAGTAGTGCTGATTTGGGTGGTTTTAGCCAGGGGAGTTTATCCACAGTTTGGGGGACAGTCATGTGTACTTAAACCATGTGGAGCCCCTAAAGGAGCAAATCGAACGGGAACCCAGGCCTTTCCCCACGCTTCAAATCAAGAGGAAAGTGGAAACTATTGAGGACTTTACTGCAGAGGATTTTGAAATTGTTGGCTACAATCCTCATCCTAAGCTAAGCATGGCCATGGCTGTTTAATGGCGTTTTATATTTTGTCGAATATACGCTAGGATGTCGAATAAATATTCCAGCTTCAAAAAATCGTTTCCTTAACGAACTTCCTGTTTTTATTAAGAAATTTGTGCGGATTTCGTTAGTTGCTTTAAAAATCAAGAGCAACTTTTGTTTCCTCCGGTGGTTCATTCAAGAGTGTAATGAGCACTTCCCAGCCCTATTATTGAACGTAAGGAAATTAGCCCGCCCTTCAATTTTCCACCCCAATCTCATTTAGCAACTACCATAAACTACAGACAAGACAAACATTGTTAACCGAACCGATAAATGGCCTTTTGGCCTAAGACAGTTGTTCTTACTGGTTAAAGGCATCAGAGCGGCGTGACGAACGGAAAAATCTTGTGCGGTACCACCGTTTTCAATCAAGACACCACCTGCTTTGGTTTCACGGTTTCATGGGTGCAAACTTTAGGAAAGTGACCCTTTTTCTTCATGTTTAATTCGGTTTTAGGAGGCATGACTTATCGAAAGTAAACTGACCAAGTCAGAGAGATGGACGGAAGTTTCAGTTGCCGATTCAAGCTGCTTAGTTGGTGTTTTTACACAATTAATTAGTTTTATTACAGGGTGATGCAATTTTTGATCGGGAAAATAAATTAGGTGAAATGCTTGCTATGGTTTTACTTAAAATTTGAAAGGTTGACTTGGGAGATAAATCCTGAAGACGGTTTTCCTCTGAATGACCTCAACTGGTTTGCGCTGGAATTATAAACTCTATATTTTTTAATGAATTAAATTTGAAGTGCAGATTTTATGCATGGGTGGCGCATACATTTTTGCAGTTTTTCACAAAATGTTTCTCTGGCCTATTTTGTTAACTACATTTATTAATTTTTAGAGGCAATTGACTGCACAGCCACTATTTTTTATCAAATCATGTCCTCTTGTTTCATTGCAGTTGGATAAACCGTTTTCCAGGATACTTCCAGTTCGCCTTTGGCACATTTTCAACGAAGAAGCCTCAGTCAAAGGCCCAAATAATAAATAGACACCCTGTATAATGCATTAGTGTTTAGATGTTACCGGTTTTTTTTCGGAAGGTTGTTAAATTGACCAACTATTTCTTATGTGTACTGAATGTTTTTCGAACTTTTCAGTGTTTGTTCGATTACTTAAAATATGCATCAACCCCTGAGGAAAAGGCCGTTAGACTTCTTACAATTAAGAGTGAGCCTGAAGGAAACAAGTCTAAAGTTGACTGTTTAAATGAAAGTCAAATACTATGGAAAAATCACTGTTGTGTGAACCGATCGTTGGGCTTGATACGCTAAACAATACCCGACCGTTATTACAAGAGGCCTTAATCGCTTGAACATTTTTGCATAGAGATTTTCGTTAGATAACTTCAACAGTTGTGAATGCAGATTTATTATTTTCACTTGTAAATCCAGAGGGAAGAAAATCGATGTGGTTTCAGTCGGGTTACGGTCATTCCTAATTTCGCGCCCAAAATTTAATTCACTCATCTATAAAAGCTCTGCAGGTGCCCATCTTCCTATGCACTTGCAAATCATGATGGAAAAAGTCGGAGTGCTACCATAGAAGAAAGCTTTCTTTATTACGCGAAAAGCTTCTGTGAAGATTTTTTGTGATTTTTTCAGGCATAGCTTCAATAAGTAATCCTGCCTGTCCTCTGGGTTTTGCCATATTTTTGCCCTTTGGACGGTGAAATTGGGATTGAAAAAATGCGAGTTAGGCGAATAATCGTGATGGTTTTATTTCGAAGATCTGCAGAATGAATCGTTAGTTGGTAAATTGAAAATCCTGTTAAGTTAGCTGGTAGTTCTCTTCGAAAGAAACCGTGTCCCAGCAAGACGTGATTTCGAAAGGGCAGCTGTTCTGCACTTCCTATCGATGGACAAAAGGCCGGAATAAGAAGCCCCGAGAGTGCAGGAACAGGTGTAAATCGACCGCCAATTTTTTAGCGGGATTTCAAGCCGTCTTTTCCAACTCCTTGAGGTCGAAGCTTTTCAACCAAAAAACCACTTCCAGTGGTTAACTAAGCTACTTTTTCCTTGCGCAAATACGAAGAGATTTGACTTTGTTTTACATGCGGATCTCATGATGGACATCTGATATCTATGTTTTATTTTGAGTTTTTGAGCGCCGATGTTATATGAAAAAGTCAGCCAATTCATCCACCCACAATTCACTAGTAATAATTGAATCCAAAAGTGCAGATGTTCGACTTTTGAGCCCTATAATTATCAGAGAAACTAGTTTAGCTAATCATTAAGTGAATTGGTAAGCCACGAATTGGGGTCACGCGGACCATTATTCAATTATTGGCAGCATAATGCCATGTCATAACACGCTTTGTAGTTTGAAAATCAGCTGCCACTGTAATTGTCGGTTGTAGTTTCAAAATAATAATGACTGTCGTGCAGTTTCAATCAATCGGGTTTTTTCCCGTCGACTAATCAAACCGCAGCTTGAAAGGGTTTTATTTTTCCCTATTTAGACAATACACCCTCGCATTTGCTATCACATCAGGACTGATTATTACATACAAAATACAATGAATGAAAGCTCAACAACTTTTTCAAGGGGTGTATAGGGGATAGAAATGAAAATTTGCAGACAATTTTAACTTGCAAAAATTTCAAATTTTAATCGAGACTATGAAGTCAAAATGTTGTGAAGTCGTGTGACCGTGGCATTCAACCGTATTAAAAGGAATTGTTTAAAGGGTCCCGATTTTAAAAGATTCCGATTCAGGATTAGACCAAAGTAAGTTTATAAAGTCTTGAAAAATCTCCTAAAATTGCCTGCAAAATCTTATGTGCACACCTTCAAAAAACTGTTGAGTTCCTTTCAATTGCAATTCGATCAATACTCAATATTTTTAGTTTCAGAATCAAGGGTTGATTCTAAAAACATTCTCTGATAATACAATTCCTCCAGCTTTATAGTGGAAACGTGGGAATAATTTTTCTCACTTTTCCATAATAATAAGATGTAAATTGCTAAATCTTATTTTCTCTTTTTCGGCTTATGGAACATTTTGCTTCAAAAAACATAGTTTCATATGGAAAACTGTTTGGTTGGGTACTTCGCCTCAAAACTTTTGTCTTATGAAAAGGCAGAATCTCCTCACATCAACTATTACAATACAGGGTGATTCAGAATTGACGTCATTCCTCTGGAGGTATTGTCTGGTGGTGTTTTAGGAGTACAGAAAATATAGTAAAATGAATTAATTGCTATTAAAAACTGAGAAACTTGCCAAAAAAAATATATTAGGAAAACGGCAACAATGTTTTTCAAGGTAATCTGCATAATTAACATTACGTAAATACCTGTTGCTTCGTAATTATTTAAAACTCCGGTAACCATGGATAAATAAAGAAAGTGACAATAAGATAGACAAGGATAAACGATAAATTCAACAGGAACCGTTGAATGACGGAACCTATTTCGAAACTCATAACCTAGAATTATTAATTTGTTTACAAATTCCAAAAACATACATTTGAGTCTGTAACTCGAAACAAGTGCCTGTGTAATCACCTTATTATACTCTTCTCGAGCAGCTTCTCTTATTCAGTTAATTAAATCCTGCTCAATTTATACCGGTGTTCAGTAATCCATTGGTTTAATGTGATCTTACATACGTGGTAGGAATGTAGCCGGTATTTATTTGGTGCCTGGGAAAGTGTCAGTGGTTGTACAATGTTCTGAGTGCCCCTGGAAGGCTCTGCTGCAACTATGTCCAATACTTGTTCCTCTGAACTAATCGTATATCCGCAAATTCGTGAAAGGAAATTCACAGTAAGTCACAGTTTGACAAATTATTGTTATTATTGACAAGGGCTATCCATCTGTAAATATCTGTTAATGACAAAAAACATCATTGCCGCTTTGACTTTTCATCAAAAAATTGTAGAAGAGAACTTTTGGAATATCAAAAATTTTCAGAATTTGAAGCAAAGATGGTAATTTTTCTTTTTGAATACTTAAGTATTCCAATATGCTTCCAATTAAACATGAAATACTTTCAAAATAATGCTTAATAACAAAGTTGAAGTTCGATTTTCAACTGTTGATATATTCTAGAAATTATTGAAAAAAATGTTTTAATATTTTTCTCGTACCTTCCAAGAGAGCCCCTATTACCCCTTAAAAGGAATGTCGCCAATTTTGAATCACCCTGKATAGAAGTAGAACCTCAACTAGATTGATCCTATTTACAAACAGATTTTCCTGTTTWTATTATTTGATTATATTTTCACTTTTTCTAAGWTYTTTTSACATTAAGAAACGAAATTGACTCCGCGACAACCATTTTYGTAACTTTTRTCCTTATCCTATATATTTTCGAGTCTCTAAAATCGTGGTGATTTTGRGAAATTCTGAAAGTGAAATTARGGAAAAAATTKAATTGAAAGCCTGGATTTTTGAAGCTATCAGTTTCAATATAATGTTAGGAATGAAATTAACTTTTTAAAGGAATTTTCAGGACACTCAAGCTGTTGCACATWTTTTTTTATTGATTTWTTAAAGAGYGAATTAGATTTAAAAAATCCTTCCGGCGARATAATTATTTAATTCAATTGATACRGCCATTGAAAAACTAGATCATTTCACGCACAACGTTTGTTATTGTTTCCTTTAAAACACACATTTTTGGGGCATTTTTAGCAAAAMTTCCACTTAMCAGTACTTGAAMGAAARTGATTTTTGACTTTGTTTAATTTGGGGATTTTTGATCCACAAGCCTGAGAGAAAACAAGTGAGAAAAGGTTGAAAATAATATTTAGTAATGCTCAATCAAATGTTTCTGTTGGAAGTTGCTACTTGCTCTTTGAGTTCAACAATTGCCTTTCTTACATACATTAATCCAAACTATTTTTTGATGCTGATGATACTTTTTCAATGAAAGATAAACCAATATTTTAAACGATTTTATTTTCTCTTTTAAAGGCACATGGATAGCGTAGAATTCTGCATTCTTCTTTTCAAACAATTTTCGCAATTTTGAATGCTGTTGCGTGTSAATCCTACAGTTTTCCCGTTGTTTGCTATTATTAAACCTTGGCGATTTGTATAATATTTGTGTGAGTGAAATGGGCTATAATTAATCAGCTAGTTGYCYWGGAMATTTTTATCTCTCGCTCCGGCTAGCAAGAACATTTGGTRAAACTATTACGAATGTTTATCTACGCGCCCAAAACCCACCCTCTGCCATTTGACAGGAAGCGTGGGCCAAAAGGTCCTAAATCATTTTCCATGTGAATATTCGAAGGCATATGAATCTCATCAGACTGCATCTTTGGTCCGATCCATCAACGATTGGATCCAGCCAGATGGTCAGATCGGGTATCTCCCCTATTACCTTCTGTTTTAAATTTGGAACACACCCTGTATTGGGTTGCATTTTTACCTTGTAACACTCATCCGTTTGCCACCTACGGAAATCTGATATATCGGTAACACGTTTTGTTTCCTTTGCATCTCTCTAAATGTTAATTGTTCAAGTTCAGTGCAAAGAAATCCGTATATGCTCTATTAAACCACGGGATAAAATTCATCTTGCACCCAGATTTTCAGCAAAAACACCCTCTGAAAGGGATTTTTAAACTTTAAATGGTTGCTGGGGCTTGGGTGGAACGATGAACAGTTGTATTTCGTTCGGAGAGTGGCATTTAAAGGACAGGTGTTCAGACACTTGGTAGGTTCTCAAGGTACCCAAGAATCAGCTGTTCGGTGTGAAGGGTGTTTTTTAAGCTTTAAAGCCCGCCAAAAGCATGGTCGGAGCAGTCTGAAGGAACTGATACATTTACCATTTAATTGCAGCCAAATTTCTTCAAACTTATCTGCGGAATACGCATTTGAAAGCTTCTCGTTTTTCTCTTACTTTCAATCAAATCAAAGTAAAGTGCTGCTGAGGAAAAGTTTCATCAGTAGAAAAAAAACATTCAAATTAACATTCTAGATGTTTGCTTATTAATGTAATTTATATCCTACCTGATATTCTGAGGGATTTGGAAATATATGTTCTGTTGCAAGTCAGCATCTCAAAGCTTGTTTCGTGCAGAATTCAAATAATCGTAAATTGCATAATGGAGGTTTCTATTTTATTCTCGCCCATCATTTTTTTCATATTCTTCATATAATGCTTTCCGATTTTGTTTGAATTATGTGAGATTATCTGTAAAGTTGAACTTTTCAAACGAGACGACGGATCTTTGAACCTCGTGGGCAAGAATTTTCTTCTAACGTTTTTGAAGCACGAGTTTATTACATCTTTAGAGGTGGTTTGATCGGAACAGGAACAAGACTTAAAGATACAAAGATATTGTTTCGAACACCCAAATTTCCAACTCGAAATCCTATCAAAACCTTGAATAACAATCTGCTTAGTAAAGTGCAGAAATTGTTTCCTAGTTTTGCCTAAAGCAAACCCTCAAAATGGCTAACGATTCTAAGGTATTAAATTATAGCATTTTCGGTAGGTGTTTTTGTTTTTTACAATTTATCGTCCTACTTTCGAAGAAATAGTCCTACTTCTCGAAGCCAGAAACGTGAGAAATATTTGGTCTACATGATTTGGTCAAAATTCCGCAGATTAGTTTTTAATTATTAGCCAAAGAAAAATGTTGCCATGTATGTAGTCATTTTCGACCGGAAATATCTATCTTTTGGTAGGGTCCTCGGCTTGATTTCTATAGCAGAATTTCTCGTAAAACTATTTTGATAATGCGATACACAAATGTAGCAGGATATTAAATTTTGTACTCTATAGTCTCTATACGTACGTGTACTCGTACTAACTTATGGATCAGTTTGTCGTTTTTCAGTGTGAAAAACGCTAAACATGCAAAGAATGTCGTTTATTTATTGAAGCATTTTTAATTGTAGGTTTCGTTGTCGAAACCGTTAAATTTTACCGATAAACTGATGTTTTGAACAACATTGTCCAAGGGTTTTTTAGGTTCAAAAAGGGGCTTCAGCAGACTATTTTTCATTTTTCTAGAGATTTTTTTTGTGACTTCCATATCTTTATTTTTGTTATGAAGTTTATTTTACTGCTAGTTATCTTAATTTGGACTTTATTCGTTCCTGTTTTATGGACGGAAATTTCTAAACTAAGCAAGTTGCTGAAAAGTCTGCTTTGTACTATTGGGAGTTGTTTTAAGGCACGTTCTAATTTTTTTTTTTAATGTAAAGTATATAATTATTGAGTAGGACCTACTTTGTCAACTTATGCCCAAGGAAATACTTACATATTTTTATGGGACAAGGATTTTCCATGCATTTTTCAATCCTCAGTGTTCTCGAACAATCCACCAAAAATGTATCACTACTTATTAGCATTAACTGGTGTGAAATTCATTAGCAAAATCCCTCAAAGTTATGCAGGAGTGAATTTATTATTGTGATACTCAATATAGGCACAGAATAAAAAATAAATGGTAAACATTATAAGTTGTGAATTGTTATGTAAAAATTATTTTTTTTAGACTTGGACATGTTTTTTAAATACGAAATTCTTTCCGTCAGAGGGAACCAAAGAATGACCCAAATTAATTTCCGATGTTTTCCAACGCATGATCATTAAAGATCGATCATAGAAAACTGAAACTGCTAAAAATTTACAAACCAGAAAATGGTGTAATGAAAAAATWATGAGAATCATTCTAATTTTCGAATTGTTGCCTAAAAATGTTTATGACTGTAAAACRKAAAATGTTGTTTTCAAATTGTTGACTCATTCTAATGGTAAATTATTTTACTCAGAATGAGCCAAAAGTAACCCAAAATAACTGACTAATTGAAGACTTATCTCGGCACAAGAAACAATAAAGCATCTAATCGTAGAAAACTGGAACTGCTTAAAAATCTGCAAAGAAGCACAAAGGCTTAATAAAAATATTAAGGAGAAACGTTCTAATCTTTCAATTGTTGTCTAAACTTTTATTAATCTAAAATTGTAAACGTTTTCGTCAAAATCGTCAGCCCATTTAAATGGTAAATTAGATCACTCAGAACGAATCAAAAATGACGCAAAATTATTTACTAATTAAAGACTTCTCAACGCAAGGAGAAATCATCATCCACAATAATAGAAAACTGAATCTGGTAAAAATTTGCAAAGAAGAAAGTAGAAAATGCGTAGCAATATAATAATATAAAAAGTAACGGAAAAACATTAAAATTTTCGAATTGTTTTGTTAAACTTAATTTTACAAATTTTAAAATATTTTGTTTTGCAAACTTTCTTCAATTGTCAAGTTAAATGGTAGATTTAAATCAGATCAGATGATAAACAAAAACAAAACTTCTCCAAAATAATGAATGTCCTAGAAATAATTTTCGCAGCGCAAGAAACAATAGAACAACCAATCATAGAAACCTGAAACTGCTAAAAATCTGCAAAGGAAAAGAAGCACAAAGTAGAAAAGCCGTAATGAAAATTAAATAAAAAAATACTTGTTGTGTAAAAATTATAATTTTAGTCTTAAAAATGTTTAGTATTGAAAGCTTTTTTAATTCGCCACCCATTTAAATGGCATATTTTTTTACTCAGAATGAGCCAAAACTGCGCCTACCTGAACCAAAATAATTTCCTAATTTAAGAGGTTTTTGAACGCATGAAACAATAAAGGCCAATCAAAGAAAAATGAAACTGCTAAACATCTGCAAAGAAACACAACAGTAAACGGGACAAACTATAATAGGCAAATAAAAGGACCAAAATTCGTTCCAAAAAATAAAATATATTTGCAATTTTCCTTTATAGGTCTAGTTGTACAAAAGCTATATTATATACACGTTATATACAATAACAGACTAGAATCTATTGCTAGCAGAGATATCAGATTCAACAATAGGTTTGTTCAGTACAGCGTATACATTAAGCAGCAAGAAACAATAAATACCTAAAAATACAGGTTTAACAAAGTACAAAATTCATAAACACCGCAAATTTGGACTATTTTGTCTACTAAAAAAGTTTTATATTGAAAGACACGAAAAACAACTTGTTGCATACAGATGATGTTTTAACAGTTCTACGGAATAAAATGCACATAAATCAACAGAAAGGGAAAATAACAAGGCTGTTTTTTCTATAACAAAGCGGTTTTTTTCTCAGAGCCTGTAAAACTAAACTAGCTAATAAGTTCCAATGTACAATAGGCAACTGTACTTTGGCTTTGGGCCGTATGAAATAATTTAGTTATATACAGTCTTACATAATCAATGAATGGATGAATTGTGAGAAATTTGTCTAACAATTCTCTTTGGAACATTGCGCGTTGTTCGGTTGCTGCAAGGTGCCAAACTTCTTCTCCAAAGCGCTACCCTTCTTTGAGTAGTAGAAATCTGCAAGCAAAGAAAGCCATTAGTATTAACGAAACGTACACGTGCGACATGAAATTGGATATTTTTCGCAGTTATATAAAAATAGGCAATTTGCCAGGCACGAGCCATATGTTCTGAGATAAGAGACGAACATTGAAAATAAATCTCTTCCTTATTGACGCAAACTTCTCGGAGCTTTGCGGTTTCGGTCACGGCCCCCCAAAAAATACTCTTTTGTTTCTTGTAGTGTCTCATGAAAACAAGGGAGTAACTTGATGCATTTTGCAGGTCCGTCAAGGTCTGCCACACGCAATAAAACCCTATCTATATCAGATAAAAATCACCACCACAAAGTCACGGTCTGAGGATTCACGTGAGAGAAGTGAAAATGCTCGATATATGACTGCATAATATTTTATTTCCATGGGAATTTCGAAAAATTTCAATTGTATTCGTGGTCAGTCGAAAATGTTGCTACTTTTATGCGTTGTGAACAGCGTGGAAAAGGGGTTAATACGCAAATGGAACTGTTTGACCATGCAATCAGTCACACCGAGTAATGGACGAAAAAATGAAGAAAATGAAAGTTTTAAAAGACTTCCCGCCAAATTATTGGGCGCGAAAATGCATAACGGATTAGTCACGAGATCGTCGTGAGAATTCGAAGCCAACCAGATTGGAACCCAACAGGTAAAGCAGCGACAATGCGTAAGGGATCCTTAAGATGAATCATTCTTACAATATTTACTGGCCAAGGGTTCCAAGAATAGAAAGGACTTTAACCTGCAATAAATTGGTTCAGAATGTATTGAAAGAAAGGGTCGATTGCGTTCAAGGCAGCCAGTACTCAAACAAAAAACCGTAGAAAGGACGCATGATGGATTTGTTTGGGTTTTGAATCAGTTCCTAGCTTGGGGAGCTGAAAACCAATTGAAGCGACAATTGAAAGGAATATACACATAAAGTAGCATTTATTAAGAGAAAATTCGACCTTAAAAGTTTATTTAAAAAGTGGTCGCTCTTGGTTTATTAACTTAGTGAACTAGAACTGGCCGGTTCCTATGACAAGGTAGTAGTAGAGAGTAGTTCAGAACGCTCCTCAATGCCATTGGGCACGATCAGAAAAAATCGTCTAAACTACAGATGACTCGTTTTTACAATAACGACGTTTACATGCTTCAATACACAATGGGTTTCCGATAATAAATATTAAATAAACAAAACGACAGGTAGTGTATGTATTTTTTTCGATGGGAACGTAACCAAATAAGGCATGAAACCATATTTCTACTCATTTCATAAATCTTGGCTTGTTTGCATTCCTGTTGAAATGTAAACTTTTTAATCAGTGTTTTGCAAGTTATCGAACTGATAAGTCGCCGTTAACAGCAATTGATTGCCAATGGAAGGACAATTTTTCGTCAAATCCATGTTTAAATTTGAAATTATCACCCGCATGAGCAATGATGGGGCTTTTGCACATCAATTAGCATTCCATGTGTTCAGACGGGAGTTTTTACATTTGGTAAACAAAAATCTAACCCAATCTTCGGTTTTTTATTGATTATTTGCCACGCCATGTCGATGCTCTGTGGGCAGTTTTAACCTTTACATAACTGAAGTAGTAATCAGAGTTTATTTTTAACGGTGAAGGTAAAAGGCGTTTTTGTATTTAATCAAGTTTTCCTTTCTATGCTGCAGTAAAAGACTGCAAATGTTGTTGGTACAAGATAGTTTTTTGTACATTTGAAAAGGGTTTATTTCAATTTTTCCACCTTTTTTTGAAGAGGGATTTCAATACTTTCTCCTTCAGTTTTGTGAGAATTTTAGAGACTTTTGTGCTTTTGGTGGCATTCCTATGGTCGAGTGGAAATATACTACTATACTATTTTAAATTGTGGCACGCCACTGACTTTTAGGGCTTTTTATTAGTGGCCTAATAATTTCATTATCGTTACCAATAAGTTGTGTTTTTATATAAAAATAAAAGTTGCATTAAAACACACACACCCAAAAGCACTGTTTTGTATTTCAAATGCATTTTGCAATAAATTCGAAGAAAAGGAACCATAAACTTTTATTAAACCAGGCTATGTGATTACATTGTTTTTGCATCAAAGCCAATGTACATTAATTTGAGGTTTTTCAACAATAAAGTCATCAAGCTAGAAATCAACTAAATTGTCTTTGCTTAGAGTTCATAGACTATTTAGAATTAATTTTAATTTATACCTCTAAAAGCTCCAGTAATATCTTGCAAATAATTTTTAAAATATTCGGTAATCGCTGGAAGGTAGAAACCCCTAAAAAACTAGAGGTATAGATTAAATCGTTAAAATTCAATTAAAAATAGCAAATCATGACTAAATTTCGGGTTAAAAATCATGTAAATACCTAGCAAACTAGCAAAATCTACCCTGAGCCTGGTAAATAAAATTCTTGAAATTTAAGCGGTTTTTAGCAAGCTTTTATCAAGCGTGTTTTGGAATGCCAGACAACCGATAAAGCTAAGTTTTCGTATGTTACAAAGGCCGCAAATAGCCATGCCAAAATAGACCTGAAAGCTTAGACAGGATGTACTAATTATTGCAAAATTCACCAATCTTTCAACGTTGCTATTAAACCGTGGTAAATATTTATGCGTTCACCTTTAATTAAGGATCTAAAGCTGGCTGGCATTAATTGGGAACGTAGTTTAAACAGTTTTAAATTAGAAAAGAAAATCAAGCTTCGGCATTGGAAAGCGCAAGTATTATTGGGCCGTTGGATCTTTCAGTAATAATTTATCTAAATAAATTATGGAAATTAGCACATTAACGGGACTTATTTCCGTGTTGGTGAAGACAGGAACTGCGGAACTTTTACAAATTAAGTCTGCCGGTTGTTAAGCTGAGTGCAAAGCACCCAAAATACAATTTTGTCTTAAGTTTATTGCGTGTGACTTTAAGATTAGAAGGTAAATCTAGTTTACAGGCTCAGGCGGCAATAAATTTCAGTTAAAAAAAACGCTTTAGAAAAAAGAATATGTGCTACTAAGCAGTTTGAATATCCTGTAGCCACGGAGGTTAATTGTTAATGTTGCATAACAAATTAACAACATTCCGGGAATAGCAAAATTGTTCATAAAGGCCAATGACTGTCTGCTTTGTGGATAGCTGGCCAACTAACTAATCGAGAAAATAATTAGAAAACAATGATTATTTTGTGGATTTGTCGTGGTTTTCGTGTTGGGTCTTCGACCTTGCGGTACTTGCATTGTTGGTTACTGATAAAACTACCGATTTTGTTAACAAAAGGGCACGCGAATTGTCACAATTGCCCCGGTAATTTATCATTGCGATGCACAAATTGTTTACCTCTTGGTCATGCATTAAAATAAATAATGTCATTGAACTTGGACGGTTTTGCAACGGTTTCCCAAACTCAACACTGAACCGTTTGGTCAAAAATCGCCTTTGATCATTAGTGTATTTGCAATTTGATCATCATCATACCCAAGCGGTTGAAATTATCTAATCTCATTAACATTTCACCAAATTTGGTGTACATTGATTGTTCAACCATTTAAGCGTCTAGACAAGCATGCATGTTTCAAGCACGCATATTGGAACGTGTATTTTATTTATTCATTCGAATTAGAATCTGGTGGGAGATTTCGAAAAGTTCGAGCAAAATACGACAGACAAACCTGAGAACAATTAAAATAAAAAGTTGACTGTTGGTGACGCATTATGTGGTTAATTTTTTGTAGTCTAGACACAGATATCAGAAACTGACCAAGAATACATTTGAAAATTAAAATGCTGAAAATCTTCCATTCCATTTAAGTGAATCTTTGAGAATTGTTTACTCGCATTATCTACAAATCCAGAATTATTAAAAAATATTCATCAAAATTCAACAAGAATTTCAACTGGAGGAAACATTTTTCAATGTTCTGTGAAGCATTTATGTCCAGGACTCCAGGCGATTTTCAGAAAATTAAAAGTGAAAGTGCAGCTTTGAATACGAACACCAAATGTTTACGCAAAAAGCAGCCAAGACTTAAATTACAGAAAAAAAACCATTCTGAGCCAAGCAATCTTAGTGAGTTTTGAGACAATTTTCGCTTATTTCGGCTTGAAATAAACGACTCTAAAAGACATTTAAAGAAAAGTAGTAGAAAGAAGATGAAAACACTATACATTTTGGAATAATTCTGAAACAATCGAACTTTAAGAGTGAATAAATGTACTTTTACGTATTTTCGAATATTCTCATCTAAAGGCATTAAAATGAAGGAATCATTGAGACCAGAAATCCCAAAAAAAGTCAGCAAGAAATTGCTTGTTTTCCGAAAAATTAGCTTTGGCTGCTGAACGAATTTTTCATCAAATCCTGTAAATTTTCGTTTAGCTCAAGTACTTAGTACAGAACTTAGACTGAATATTTAAAGCCTTTATAAAAAACCCGTTGAAAAATCGGTACTCACCAACTAACACTAAAATCAATTTTATTTTCGTCCGAAATCTAGACCATGATGTGAACCATTATAAATATATGCTACAAAGAGATTCAATTCATCTGTAATTTTTATTCTTGATGCAGGAAATGAACCCGTTGTCGATATACAAATGTTCGAAGCTACCATCATTGGCCAATAAAGTCATTAGGATAAGCAGCAAAGTAAATATGTTTAATTACAGTGGTTTAATGTGATTTAGATGCGAATTTAAGCAAATAAGCCAACTTAATTTTGATGAGTTTTAAAATCTCTCATGCCCTAACGTGAACACAAATATGCTGCTGAAGAAGCATTTTGGGTCGAAATCAAGCAACCCTCAAATAGTTTTTTTTTCAAAAACGAAGTCCTTCTAGATGATTGAACCGTCCAAGAAATCGAATTGATGGCCTGTTTCGACCAATATTGTTGGATGACGCAAACCTGTGAATCATTGTAATCCCCATGGCGAACTTCTAGACAAGTTAAAACAAGCGAAAGTACCAAGTTTGAACCTGTCTAGACCTACCGTAATTAAGAGTCGTCCGATTAGTGCGTGATTTATAATGAAAGCTGATGGTTAGTGAACTTTCTTTGAACCCTTTTTTCAGTATTCCTGCCTAAACGAGTCACTGGGTATAGAAAAGATTTAGATGAATCAATGGAAAAAAATCTGCAACTTGGTTGATTAGAACAAGCAACCACCTTTGCACTCTATATATATGAAAGTCTGATTTAAGTGCTGAAAAACTACTAAAATTTGACCAAAAGCTTTAACGTTAGAAACAACTACTGTTAGAACCACCGCAGTTAATATGCATCACATTAATTAATACTTGATTATATTTATTTTTATGTTTAATATTTGACTTTGATGGTTCTTTGAACGCCATTTTCAAATACTTATTTCTTTTTCACGGGAGATTTAGTTTGGATTGAATACATTTCACTGGAAGCAGGAAAACTGAAAAGACCAATTACTATAAACGGCTCTTGAATTGGAAAATATCTCAGGAAGGATACACGTTCAACATCTGTTTTGTGCCGTAAGCGGGCATCTGCTTTCTGCATAAAATTCACCTAACATCTGACGCATCTTTCAGGAAATAATGGGATTTTAAGCTTTGCTTGCCAGCTAAGTGGAGTTTTACATCAAAATTTCAATAAGATCGAACCATATAAGGCCTCCCAATTCCATGTTTGCCCTTTTTTCGAGCTATAAAGGGTTTCTTTTTCGCTATAAAGGGTTTCGTTTCTCTCACGTGTTTCGCAACGACGGGGTAATATCAAAAATGCAAAGCACATTTTCCGAAGTACAGTTTGAGTACAACTACAATATAATTTGCACATAATGAACCTCCAGAAATAGAAAAACGTGTTCGTGGTAAGCGATTTAGTAGTTAATTGGTTGTTGTTTGAAAGGCGATTAGATCGTTTCGCAAGAGAACATTTCAAAGCTACCGGAGCTTTCGTTAATGATGAACCTTTCGGTTCAACTGGATTTCATGTAAGTTTCGAAAACTATCGGAAGTCACTTCAGTTCTTCTGACTACCAAACAGATTAGCCAAATGCAATTTAGCAACTAGAAATATACCTGCCTAAATAGGCGATTAGCCACTGGAGACATTACGAACACATAATGACCTATGTGGACAAAACAGGCCATAAGTAGCATAAAACCCAAGACCCATTATGTTTGTCCTCGTCGTTAAAATGTTATTAGACCATTGTACCCATATTTCATGGTATCATGCACTCAAAGATAAGCTTATTTTCATTCGAACTTGTTGAGAATCATTAAAAGTGGGTACAGGAACGGCACTAAAATGGACGAAAATTATTGAAAATCAAATGCAAACAGTTCTGTTGGTGTGGCAAGGAAGTGCAGATGGTTCTATATTCAACATTTTCTCTAACAATTTCCATGCATAGCTGCAATTTTACAGGTTGCCGCATTTACCAAATTTTCCTACTGGAAGGCAATCAACCAATATACAGGGTGGTTTAAAGATATACCCAAAAACGGTCGATCGATTATAATCCAGCAGCTGATGTAGAGAGAGTTCAGGTTTTCAACCTTTAGAACCAAACTGAGATTTTGCAATTTCAAATATAATTATGTGTTTAAAGCTCTGAAGCTCAACTTACCAGTAATAAATTGCTGACTTTGCCCCGCTTGGTCCTTACTAAACATCACTTTCCTTCGGGCTTTCAGGATTTTCCTGCTCAAGCTGTTCGCCTTTCCACTCAACACTTTCGCTTCCCGATTCTGCCCATTTCTGTCGTTCTCCCTATTGACGCTCTCATCATTCTTGCTCCTCTCCAAATACTCGATGGTCTCCACGTCAAAGCCAAACTTGCTGAGAAATCGCTTCTGATCCAACTGGTACTGATCATCCAGCAGCCTCCTGGTGTCCTCGGGATCGGCTTGCCCAAAAAGACACTTTCTAATCGACACTGACTTTTTGTGGCGCGAGAGTCTATCCAGAAAATTACCCTGTTGCTTGGCCTGGATCTGGCGGCCTTTGCTCGACTCCAGAACGATGATTTTACAAATGTCGTGGTTCTCCATACTCACGAGGTACAAACGCGACTCACTCCAACACTGAAAACTCGACGACGATTACCGAACGGGCGTTGGGCGAATAGTGATATATAGTGGGCCCATGGGACCCATATGGGTTCTACAGGTAGCGCTGCGCCCCACCACTCCACCCAAATGCACATGGGAATATAGAGGTGGGTTGTAATGAGATTGTATGATGATTGATGGGCGTTTTCAAGTCCTTTAGTGGCGGCTGTTCATTGGTATTTGTATTTGCGTGTAGCTCTATGGTCAGCTGTTTCCGAAGCGGATGGGCGGATTCGGATTAGCTTTTTGGGTACTTAGTTTAAACAACTTACCTTTGTTCACGCAAAGTTTTATATTGGTTTTTCTGTTTGTGACAGAAACATTGACTTTTTGAGTTAGTGAGACGATCCAATTAACAAAAGGATAAACTATAGACTTTGTTTAAACATTAGGACAGAAGAAGTGGCAGTAATTGGGTACGAGTGATTGAAACCACAATAAATCACTTAAAGAATTATGAAGAAAAACTAAGAAGAACTAAGCAAAATATTGAAATTAAGCGAAACAAGCAAAGGAAACGTTGACTTTTTGAAATTGTTAAGACGGTTCTACTATCAAGCAAATCTGCAATCGATAATAAATTATTTGGAAAATTATAAAAAAAAACTAAGTAGTACTAAACAAAATCTTGCAATTCAGTGAAATAATCGTTTTTAATATGCTGACAATAAATCGGCAGAGTTAATTTTCTTTGTGAAAAATAAAAAAACATAAATTTTAGGTTTACCAATTAACTGTACCTCTTACAGGGAAAACCKTTTTGGCAAAATAAGATTTTTTAGTTATAAATTTGAGGAAAGAACCCCTAGAAAAAATACRAACAGAATCCAGAAAAMATTAAGTGAAATTTATTAAATACAATATTTACTTCCTGCTGGATTTTTGGATCTCCAATGGCGCRCGTACCGATATCAAATAAATTGAAATAYCTGAATTTRMCTTAAAAAAAAAACTGGTACCCCACTGATTTATCAAAAAATTGATTKTAGCCTTTCACTGCTTGTCCAATTCTGAACAAAAAACCTCTGTTGAGTTTTCTTTGTAAAACACATCATTTTCGAGTAATAAAATAAAAGTAGTAGGACTACTTTTATCCTATCCTGCACTTCTTAGAATCCTCGCACCAGCAAATGTTTTAATTCAAAGTTTTCAATGATTGGCGATTGATTTTGATTATTGACATTTTTTTATTATTATTGATAATTGATTAGGTAATGAAATGATCAAATTAGTTTTCTAATAAATCAGAAGCGCATCATTTTTTTCCTCAAAATTAGTTAATGTTAGAGCAGTACGCATTCAACAGTTCCATTCAATAGAAGCATGGCTACCCGATAGCTGTTTTGCTTTTTTGCATTTGCAAATTTTGCAACATTTCATTAAAATCTTGCTCCTGTTTTCAACTCAGTTCAATTCAGCTATATTAATAAACTTCTATGTTTTTTAATAAAATTTTAATAACTGGTATTTTCACATCTACAACCACTTTAAAGACCCTAATTTATTTTAATTTTGTAACAGTATTTACTTTCCTTTGGATCGCCCTGTATAATTTGTCCATTACGACTACAAGTCGACTACACTCGAGAAGCAATTAGATACATATTTGTATTTTACACAGCGCATAAAAAAGTGGTCGAAAGTGTAATTAATCTCTTGCCCAAAAAATATACAACTTCTTTGTGTTAACGGTAGACAAGGAAGTGTTCCGGTTTAAAAAAAAATTCAAAAGAATCYAWTAAATAGAAGTGCGTGCATTTTTTTCTAAAAAGTTTAACCACAATCTTGATGTTTAGAAGTTGCGACAAGAAAACTAGGAAAACTCTTAAAAAGGAGGAAGCTCCTAAGTCCTACCTTAGTTATTAGACAAACATCTTCTACTTCCAAAGTGAAACTCTCACTGACAAAAATTCAATTTTACTACTGAACTTCAAATTAACGGTGTGAAGAAAAGTGTAGGGAATTTTCCACACAAGTTTAACAGCCTAAACTTCCCGAAAAATTCAAATTCAAAAAGAAATAGAAAGTAAACTTGAGAAAAGTTGCTTATGTTATATTATCAATGAACTAGATCAATTAATCTTCTGGTTTCATTGTGTAGCAGGAGATTTAGTAAATACCAAAAATAAATCCATCAATGTAAAAACAAAAAGAAAACTTTTCAGCACAAACTACAAAAACAGAGCAAAAAAATATCCAGAATATAAAGTTCTTAAATACAAAAATGTAACTGTGGAAATAAAGGAAAATTCGGACAGAACTATAGAAGTAGATGCAAGAAAACTAGTGAAAAGTTCGTCCATACTTCAATCTGGATCAATCAAAATATTGCTTTGATTTTGCAGCAGGAGGTTTAGGAAATACCAAAAATAAATTACAGGAAAACAAATTTTTCTACAAACCTTATCCAACGGTCTAAACTTAGCTCAAAATGGCTCAAAATACAGCGAAAAATATTCAGAACATAAAGTTCCGCAATGTAGAAACAAAACTGAGGAAATAAAGGAAAATTCGAAAAGAAGAACTATAGAAGCAGCTACAAATAAACATCTGAGAAAAGTTTATCCATGGTTCAAGCTTGATAATGAATCTTCTGCTTCCTTTTCGCAGCAGAAGATTTAAGAAATACCAAAAATAAATTCATGAATGAAACAGACACGCTTAACAGTTCAAACTTGCAAAAGAGGGCAAAGGAAAAGAGGAAAAGAATGAGAAGATCGAGTTCTTAAATGTAGGAATGGACTGAGGAAATAAAGGAAATTTCGGAAAGAAGAACTGTAGAAGTAGATGTAATAATCATTAGAAAATTCGCTCCAGGTTCAAACTTGATCAATAAACCTTTTGCTTCCATTTTACATCAGAAAAGTTAATGAATACCAAAAAGGAATTCAATAAATAAAGATGCAGTAAGAAAACTTTTCAACACACGTTTAACAGTGTAGACTTCCAAAATACAGAAAAGAAAGGTTCATAATATAAAACGCTTAATTACAGAAACGTATCAGTGAAAAAAAAGGAATATTCGAGAAGAAAAACTATAGAAGTAGGTGCAAGTAAACTTGAAAAAAGTTCCTCCATGGCTCAAAATTGACGAATGAATCTTCTGCTTTCATTTTGCATCAGGAAATATTACCAACATTTAAAATCTTGATATATTTCACACAAGTCTGCTAAAAAATCGATTTTTTCCTTGTATAAAATGACTGACTGCTTATCTGTAAATTTAACCAAAACCGTTCAGCACATTATGTATTACGAAATCGTTCGATGGTATCAAGCTCGAACCCCAAGACACCAAATACAACAATTGACTGGTAGCGCCATAAAGCCTGGCAATAAAGGATTTTATCCAATTTTAAAAGGCACAGCCATAATCTCGGCCACTCTTCTTAAGCTTTCTTGTTTGTTAAGATGCTTTCAGTGCACTAAACGTGATTTATCGTACATTATTCTTTACAGAAACGCTGTAAAAATGACAAGGGAGAAGTAGCTTATTGTCAAGTCTAATTAACTTCGGAGCCTGTTTGGGGATAACAGGAGTATTTTGTGTTATTAGTGCTATATTGGCTTTTAAGAAGTGAGGCGCTTATCATGCAGTGTCGTAGCTAAACGTTTTTCAAACAAGTTCCTCACCCTCACTAATATTACCAATTTTTGTTGATTTGTTACTTTATCAGCATTTTCTCATTGCCACTAAATTAATCGGCAATTAATAGAGCCGACTAACTGGGCTTGTCAGAGATAAACCGTCATGGGAAACAATTCGGTAAACTACCCCCAAAAAAAGTCCCACAAAAACGGTTGAAGAGCAGGCCCACACCTTCACACGTGTGTGAACGTTGACTAAATTAAAGTAATTGGGCCGGACACATTAAAACTTACTCTATTGTGACGTTAATTTCGTTTTTCCATCCGCTCCCACTCATGGAAACGCGGATAATTTGACAGAGATGGCAAAGCAAAAAAACTAGACAATGGGTGTAACGTTTTTCTATATCCAGCCACTTGATCAACTACCCTGTTCTAAATAATTTGTGTATTTTAAAGCCCTTCGTCTATGTTTATTAAGCATTTTATATTCAGTTTCAGTTAGCAAATGTTTGCTTGCTTTATTTCCTTTCATTATCACAAAACAGTTTTATTTAATATCACAAAATTTTGGTTAACAATATGGATAATTCTGGTGTTTTCTTGAAAATATTTGCCATCGCATATATGAGTAAGAAAAACTTAGTAGAACCCAGTGTACCTCAACGCACCGGCGCAGTAACTCAGTTCCGTTGCTGGGAAAATGACGCTGGCTTTTTTTACTTGTTTTTAGATTTATTTTAAGGGTCATTTATTGATATTATTTTTAAAATTTCTTCAAAATTTCAGAGTTTTTCAGTTATAGCCAAGTTACTATTTCTTCTAAATGCTCAATTTTCTAAAGTTTCACTTAAAAATGCTGAAAATCTTAAGGGTATTTTGAGCGAAAAAATATGAAATAAATTTTCAATCGTTCGTCGCTTTGTAAAAAGTTCTGAAATTCGTTTCCAGCTACCAACTTGGAACGAAAATCAAATAATTCTTCATCAAAAAACGAACAGAATAAGCGAAAGTTTATAACAGATTATTTGGAAATCTCGTCACCTCCATACCTCTGAAGACTGCAGAGTTTGTTAAAGAAACGTGGTTTTTAGTTTTGACTGAATTTTTTTTGCTTTATTTCGTACTCAAAAACGCTCTATTTTGTAGAGTCTCACTTAAAAATACTGACGATCTGGAGGTCTTTTACGCGAAATTGCATTTCAATTGCAGAAAATTTATAGCTGTAAAAATTTTACAAAAACTTTTTTCAGCGTCGAATTCGGGACAGAAACGAAAAGAAATGAATCCCGTTTTTCATCGAAAACCATTAAGGTTTTCTCCAACATCGATCACAAAACAACAGTTTTTAATCGAAAACTCAAAAGAACATTATTTTCTTCTTTTCTGACATTAGTGGGTTCTTTTCAGCCAAAAATGATAAAATTAATTTTGCCAGAAAATTCACCTCATTCATCGGTTAA